CTCCAACCTGCCAGCACTAGCAATGACCTCCAACCTAATAGCAATGGTCTCCAACATACTAGCGTTACTAGCGATTGACCGCATCGCTGTTTCCAGGCCTTCTTGGGGTGGTGACGCATAGCTTTGGTGAGAACAGTTGGCCAGTGCTTTGCGCCGTGGTGCAGGGAATCGTCATTGTGGTGGAGCCGGTGCTGATGGCATCTCGGATGATGTTGGCAGAAAGGGTGCTGTTGCCACTGACCTTTGTCGTACCTTTGTGGCAAAGCTTCTTGCTGCTTTGGGCAATCATCATTTGTGAGAAGATCCTTCGAGTCATTGTTTTGTTGGCTGCCAAGTGGGTGCTCATTGGACGATACAAGGAGGCAAAGCATGACATTTACAGTTTGTTTTACTTGCGGCATTGGCTGGTGGAGCGTATTGCTGATGGCACCATCATTGGTACCGAAACACCTCCCGGGACCAGTGTGGCCTTCCACTTTCTGCGGAACCTGGTCCTGAGAGCCCTTGGTGCAGATGTCGCATTGACTGCTATGATCTTCACACGCGTGGTGGCTTTTGATCTTGTGTCAGTGGGACATTTGGCCACCGTGAATGGCTTGAAGCGCCTTACTGCCGTGAACTATGGAGAGGGAAAGATGGTATTAAAATCCATTTCCGTTGGCGAAGGTGCCTTTGTTGGTGCCAACTCGCTTTTGGAGCCAGGAAGTCGGGTCGCTGCCGCCAGCCATGTGGAAGCTTTGTCCATGGTTCCCGGCTCCAAGGTGTCAGGCCGAGTTGCTGGGGTTCCAGCTGAGTCGATCGAGTGTGATGCGGCGAAGCCCCGTAGCATTCCTTTGGCTTCTGAGGTGCGCAGTTTTCGTCTGAAAGCAGCTCTCATGGCTTCCACTTACTGGCTCTTCACACCGCAGGCCGTGATACCCTTTATCACAGTCATGATCTTTCAGCTTGAGGCAGGCTCAGAGGACTCAGTGGATTTTGACTTGGAACGCTTTGATTCCCTACCAGAAAGTGTACTCAGCTTCTTGCCACAGCTCCCACTTTGGAGCTTTGCTTTTACTCTCCTGATTCTGGCTCTGCAGCTGCTTCTGACCGCTTTGATTTGCCGATTGTTGCCCAGAGTAAAGCCACCCTGTAGCTACTTGCTGACCAGCGTCCGGGGCCAGATGGTCTCACTGAAGATGTTGTGGATCAATCAGGCATCCAAATTGCTGCAGGATGCTTCCATGGTACCAGCCTTCATGCGTATGTGTGGTGCTCGTTTTGGCCGAGGAGTTTCCATAGCTGCAGAAGTCATGCTGCCTGACACGTTGGTGGTGGGAAATGGTTGCTTCATTGCTACACGAAACATCCTCACCAGCGCGACGGTGGACCAGGGTCAGTTCCGAGTTCCGTGCGTTACACACCTGGGTCACTGGGCCCGGTTTTCTGGGAGCGGGTGGGATTGCAAACACCAAAAGCTCCTGCGAAGGGTTTTCGTTCAGACCAGCTGCTGCCAATAGCTGTTTTGTGTATGTACTGTAGATTTTTGCAGATGTGGAGGTGGGATGATGTGGGCAGATGTCGATGTTGGTAGATGATGTCGATCGTAAGACAGGTCTACTTCTTGTAAGGTGGGCGACCAGAGGGTCCGTGCAGACGTGCGGTCCAGGGATCGGTGTCAGATGCACCGCGAAATGCTGGTGTACAGGCTTTGTGCTTGGGCGTGCTTGGGCGACCGGTTGGTTGGAATATTGATGTGCAGGCTTCCTGAATCCCTTCCAATTTCCTTTCAACTCTTTGCATGTTCTTTTCAAACCTTTTATTCCCCAGATAGCGAAGCTATGGGGTTCTTACTTCAAATAACAATGAGTTGCCCGTGCGCGCTTTCGAGACAGGTTGCTGGTGCTGGGTGCCGCTGCTGGTGCTGGTGCTGTGAGCTGGCTGTGCACGTGGTGGAGACAGGTTGCTGGTGCCGGGTGCCGGCGCTGGTGCTGGTGCTGTGAGCTGGCTGTGCACGCGGTGGAGACAGGTTGCTGGTGGTGCTGGGTGCGGGTGCCGGTGCTGGTGCTGCCCATGCTGGTGCCGTGAGCTGGCTGTGCGCATGGTGGAGGCAGCAACCTGTGTCGGGTGCCGGTCCTGGTGCTGTGAGCTGGCTGTGCACGTGGTGGACGTGGTGGAGACAGGTTGCTGGTGCTGGTGCTGGTGCCGGGTGCCGGTGCTGGTGCTGGTGCTGGGTGCCGGTGCTGGTGCTGGTGGTGTGGCTTGCATATGTGAGGGGGTCTATTTTCGGATCTTTTTCCCAGATAGCGAAGCTATTCGTGCTGGATACTGCTTGGCCTTGGGCGAGTGAAGCCTATACGGGCTTTGCTGTTTGTGCACGTACTTTTGTGCGCATAATCTTATACGCGCAAGATTATCGTTCTGCAGATCGTTGCTGCAAGCGTGCTGCAAAGTCGATACTGCTTGGCCTTGGGCCAATGACACTTACGGGCTTTGCGATTTGCGCGCATACTTTTGTGCGCATAAACTTATACGCGCAAGATCATACGTTGTTATTCCCCAAGTAGGGATAGCTATGGGGTTCTTGCTGCAAATAAGAATGGGCTGGCTGCGCGCGCTTTCGAAAGGGTGTCGGTGCTGGTGCTGGTGTTGTGGTCCTGGGTGCTGGTGCTGTGAGCTGGCTGAGCGCGCGTTTAAGACGGGCGGCGGCGCTCGTCGGGTGCTGGCGCCGCTGCCGGTGTTGTCAGCTGGCAAAGCCCACCGGTCGTGCGCTGGCAGCGTACATTCTTGTTCCAACCAGTCGCATGTCAACAGGTCGTGGGATTCTGCCTAGCTATCTGGGTCTATGCTGGTGTATTTTATTCTTAAAGTGTCTCTTTATTGTCCTCAATGTGCCTGTGAGGCTTTTCATCCTCCATTCATCCTTCCTGCTTCATCAAGAGCAGGGCTTTCTTTCTTTTCCTTCAAAGTCCTTTCATGTTTTGCTTAAAGTAAACAAGTGTTCCGGTTCTTTTCATTCTTATTCGATGTCTGTGTAGAACGTATCATGTTTCCTTTAAGATACCGTTTTTCCGCTATATTTTCAGTTGACATCGTTTGAAGCCCTTTCATATTCCTGCGGTGAAATGACGCGCTTCTATAGCTAATGAAACCTGACAGTGGTCTGAGTGGTCTGAGCATGGTTTGTGGGTTTCTTTGGACCTCAGTTTCCTGGCGAGTTTTTGAGCTCAAAGGTCGGGCGCCCGTTCTCCTCATCTGCGTGTACTCACCACTAGATTTTCATGTTCATCATTGTCACTCTGCATCAGCATGCTTCAACGTTTCTGGGAAATTGTCATTTTCTCTCATCATTCCTCCTCTGCTATCATTCTTTACAGTATGTCTTAAGCTTTCATCAGCGCTCTCTCCACACTTAGTCACAGGTTCATCCAATGTCATAATCGACAGGGAAAGGAACGAGGGTACAGCAAGGTGAAGGGGTCAGCGTACTTGAAATGTTGAACAAAGTTCAGAAGCTAGTTACTGAATACTTAGCACTTTAGTTACTGATTACTTAGCGGTTCTTAATTACGTGCAATAGTTAGGGAGCGGGACTTTAGTCTTAAGCCGCCCGGGTCGGTAGATTAGACTAGAGCAGGAACAACAGAAGAAAAGGCGCCGACGCACAAGTGTGTCGAGTACCATTTCCTTCTGTTGCCCTAATTAGATCAGCAGGTACGTTTGCAGCCCTCACCAGTGGCCTCTTCGGTGGCCATCCACCACTGGTGAGAGGGATGGCCCCCTGCAGACTGTATTTAAGAAATTGAACTCATGGACACGGAGTGCGACACACACACAAGGTGCCGCAGTGTGGCGCTCGCTCTTAAATAGTCACCTAACAAGCCTTAGAAACTAAAAGGAAAAAGAGAAAGAAAGCCAAAAAGAAAAGGGCAAGAAAGAACAATAGGTGTAGGGGCATGCGTGTCGGCTGAAGGCCAATTACGGAGCCAAAACCTGAATAGCAACCTAACAAGCCTTAGGAAAGAAAGACAGAAAGAGGAAGACGAAAAGGAGAAGAAAGAAAGATAGGTGTAAGGCCACGCATGTCTGCCGAGCGAACGGCAAATTGCGGAGTCAAAACCTGAATAGGTGCCTTACAAGCCTTAGAAAGGAAGGAAACACAGAAAGAAAAAACGAAGAGGGCAAGAGAGAAAGGTAGGTGTAGTTAAAAAGGTAAAGTTAGCTACTGACTACTTAGCGGCCTTTAATTGCGTGCAATAGTTAGGGAGCGGGACCTTAGCCGTAAACCGCCAGGGTAGAGTAGACTAGAAAAGGGACAACAGAAGGAAAGGCATCGACACACAAGTGTGTCAAGTGCCATTTCCTTCTGTTACCCTAATTTGAGCTAGAAGTAAAGCAAAAACAAGGGGTAGGGAAACGAGCCTCAAGAACAACCTAACAAGCCTGAAGAAACATCTAACAAACGTCTAAACCGCAAGAAGGAAAGAGGGGTGAGGGTGGGGGTGGGCGTTCATTCTCCGTACGCCCGGCGGATCCCAGAACTCAAAAATGCTAAGTCGATATGTGATTCACGAAGGCTTCAGTGCCTCTCTTGCCAGAGGATCACACTGTGCACCCAAGTGGGAAAACGCAGCGGTACACATTTAGTCACAGGTTCATCTAATGTCATAATCCACAAAGAAAGGAACGAGGGTACAGCAAGGTGAAGGGGTCAGCGTACTTGAAATGTTGAACAAAGTTCAGAAGCTAGTTACTGAATACTTGGCACTCTAGTTACTGATTACTTAGCGGTTCTTAATTACGTGCAATAGTTAGGGAGCGGGACTTTAGTCTTAAACCGCCCGGGTAGATTAGATTAGAGCAGGAACAACAGAAGGAAAGGCATTGACACACACAAGTGTGTCGAGTACCATTTCCTTCTGTTGCCCTAATTAGATCAGCAGATACGTTTGCAGCCCTCACCAGTGGCCTTTTCGGTGGCCATCCACCACTGGTGAGAGGGATGGCCCCCTGCAGATTGTATTGTAAAAATTAAACTCTTGGACACGGAGTGACGGAGTGCGACACACACTTTGACATTGGGTTTTCAGTTAACTCAATTCCCCGAGAAAAGGAATGGCTCAACGGCAAGGTGAAGCGTCCGATCACTTGAAGGTGTTTGAAAAAAGTGTTTCTCGTGATGCATGACTGCAGAACATTAGTTACTGATTACTTAGCAGACCGAATTGACGCCATGCATGGAAACCTTGTTTGGGGGACGTATCATGAAAGCCACCATGAAAGCAAAAAAGAGAGTAGAACAGCTTGGACAACAGTTGATCGCAGGTACGTTTGCACCCAGGTCGGGGGTGTCTTCGTTGGCCGGAGACCCCCCACCTGGCTCCGGCCCCCTGCGTGTAAAAGCTCCTGGAAACAGAGTGTGACACACTCTGACATTGGTTTTCAGTTAGACTCAGTTGCCACGATGGGAAGGATGGCGGTGGAACAGCATGGCGAAAAGTCCGAGAAAATTGTAGGTGTTTGAACAAAGGTTTTTCCCTTGACTGCGGTGACGAAGCGGCTCAAGCTGCAGCGCTGCTGGGGAAGAAAAGTTTTGGGGGGAGTATCATGAACCACCATGCGAGCAAACCGAGAGTGGAACAGCTTGATCAAAAGTTTAGCGCAGGTACGTCGGCAAGCCTCCTTGCCGATATCCTCAGGACACTGCAGAGAGCTTTGTTAAGTGGAGCTCTGCAGGCCTGCTCCACTCCCCTGCCGTCGTGGGAAGTAGGTTCAACTAGAAACCCTTAGAAACAGGGTGTGACACACACAAGAAGCCGAAGTCGGCGCCCATGCGGACCTGAAAGTTGGTGGGTCTGCAGTGAGGAGAGTAAGGTGAACTTATGGCATGAAGTGCAATGCGAAGTGACGTCAAAACGTGCTGAAGCAGGTCAACTGGCTGCGGTGCGAACCCGTGTTAAAAATTGGGAACGTGCAACAACAACCCATGATGCATAACAATGCAGAAAGGTGGGGGATTCCGTCGTTTATAGCCCGGCGGCTCGAAAGTCAGTTAATTCAGTGATAAAGTGAACAAACAGAAGGTCAGTTATAAACAGCAGGGCCAATGAAATCCGGAATGGTTTCGGCGCCTCCTTTCGGAGGGTCACACCCAGTACCCACGTGGGAAGACTGAGCGGTTCACACTCTGACATTGGTTTTCAGTTAGACTCAGTTGCCACGATGGGAAGGATGGCGGTGGAACAGCATGGCGAAAAGTCCGAGAAAATTGTAGGTGTTTGAACAAAGGTTGTTTCCCTTGACTGCTGTGACGAAGCGGCTCAAGCTGCAGCGCTGCTGGGGAAGAAAAGTTTT